CCCTCTCTGTCTTAAAAATAAATAAACGTTGAAAAAAAAATAAAAAAAAAAATAAATGGTATTGGGTTTTTAATTTGAAATTCCAATTGTTTATTGCTTGGGTATTAGAAAGCCATTGGCTTTTTTTTTTTTTTTTTAATTTATATCCAAATTGGTTAGCATATAGTGCAACAATGATTTCAGGAGTCGATTCCTTAATGCCCCTTACCCATTTAGCCCATCCCCCCTCCCACAACCCCTCCAGTAACCCTCTGTTTATTCTCCATATTCAAGAGTCTCTTATGCTTTGTCCCCCTCCCTGTTTTTATATTATTTTTGTTTCCCTTCCCTTAGGTTCATTTGTTTTGTCTCTTAAAGTCCTCATATGAGTGAAGTCATATCATATTTGTCTTTCTCTAATTTCACTTAGCATAGTACCCTCCAGTTCCATCCCCATAGTTGCAAATGGCAAGATTTCATTCTTTTTGATTGCCGAGTAATACTCCATTGTATATATATACCACATCTTCTTTATCCATTCATCCATTGATGGACATTTGGGCTCTTTCCAGAAAGCCATTGACTTTTATATATTAACCTTGAATCCTGCAGTCTGCTGCTGCTGTAATCACTTATTAGTTCTAGGGTTTAAATATTTTTTTGGTCCAGTGTTGGGGATTTTTCTATATAAACCTTGTGTCTGAGAACAGACAGTTTTATTTCTTCCTTCTTAATCTGTAGATCTTTTATTTTCTTCTCTTGCCCTATTATACTAGCTAGGACTTCCATCACAATATTGAATAGGAGTGGTCAGAAGAGATAGCCCTGCTTTTTTCCTGTCTTTAGTTTCTCACCATTAAGTGTGATGTTAGCTGTAAGTTTTTTGTAGATGTTCTTTTTCAAGTTGAGAAAGTTTCCCTTATCCTAGTTTCCTGAGAGTTTTTAACATGAATGGGTGTTGGATTTTGCCAAATCCTTTTTTTGCATAATTGATATGATCATGTAATTTTTCTTCTTTAGTCTGTTGATGTGATGGATTATATTAATTGACTTGAATGATGAAACAGTCTTGAATACCTGGAATAAATCCCACTTAGTTGTGGTGTATAATTATTTTTATACATTGTTGGGCTCAATTTGCTAATATTTTGTTGAGGACTTTTGCATTTAGTGTACTGAAACATATTGGTCTATAGTTTTCCTTTCTTGTAATGTTTTCATCTGGTTTTGGGATTACTGTATTAATGGGCTTATAGAATGAGTTAGGATGTGTTGCCTCTACTTTAATTGCTAGAAGAAATTGTAAAAAATTGGTATCATTATTAATTTAAATGTTTGGTAGAATTCACCATTGAAACCATTTGGGCCTAGTGCTTTATTTTTCTGAGGTTATTAATTATTGATTAAATTTCCCTAATAGATGCAGGCCAATTCAAATTATCTATTTTTTCTTGTGTGAATCTTGGTAATTTTTGTCTCTCAAGGAATTGGTCCATTTTATTCAAGTTATTATATATGTGGGCATAATGGTGCTCATAATGTTCCTTTATTATCCGTCTGTTCATGGCATCAGTAGTGATCCCTCTTTCATTTATGATATTAGTACTTTATGTCTTCTCTGTTTTGTTCTTAGTCAACCTAGAAGCTTATCATTTTAGTAATCATTTCAAAGCCATAGTTTTTGGTTTCATTGATTTTCTCCATTGATTTCCTGTTTTCAGTTTCATTGTTTTCTGCTTTAAATTTTGATATTTCTTTTCTTCTGCTTGTTTTAGGCTGAACTGCTCTTCTTCCTCTAGCTTCTGAAGGTGGAAGCTTATTAATTAAGATAGTTGATATTATGTTTCTCCTCTTTTCTAAAATATGTATTCAATATTATACACTCCACTCTAGGCATTTCTTTTGTAGCACCTGCAAATTTTCATAAGTAGGATTTTCGTTTTAATTTCATTTGGTTCAAAATATTTTAAAATTTCTCTTGAGACTTTTTCTTTGACCCATATATTATTTAGAATAGAAATGATTTATTCTCCAAGTAATTTGGAATTTTTGCAGCCATCCTTCTGCTTATTTATATCTAGATAGCTCCATTGTGGTCTGAGAATATACCCTGCATTATTTCTATTCTTTAAAATGTTTAAAGATGTAGTCTATGAGCTAGAATGTGATTTATCTTGGTGAGTGTTCCATATGAACTTGAGAATAATGTATATTCTGCTGTTGGATAAAGTATCCTATTAATTAATTCAGTCCAGATGATTGGTGGTGCTATTCCTTTCAACTATTTTCTTACTGCTTTTCTGCTTGCTGGTCTATCAATTAATGAAAGATGAGTGTTAAAATCTCCAACTATAATTGCAGATTTGTCTATTTGTCCTTGTAGTTCTTTCAGTTTTCGCCTCATGTATTTTGACATTCTGTTGTCAGGTGCATACAAGTTGAGGATTTTTAGGTCTTCTTGAATAATTGATCCCTTTTTCACTAAGTAATGTCTCTTTTTATCCCTAATAAAAATTTTGTTGTTGTTGTTCTGAAGGCTTCTTTTAAATTCACAGTTACTCTAGCTTTCTTTGGGTTAGCATTAGTATAGTGTGTCTTTCTCAATCCCTTTGATTTAAACCTATCTGTTTAAACCTGTCTTCATATTTAAAGTGGGTTTCTTATAGAAAACATTTAGGTGAGTCTTTTGTTTTTTTATCCACTCTGATAGTCTCTGTCTTTTAATTAATATGTTTAGACCATTCATTTAAAGTGATTATGTATATAGTTGGATTAGTATGTACCATTCTATTTGGTGAACTTGTTCTTTGCTTCTTTTTTTTTTTTTTAACCTTTCTCTCCCCCTCCTTTAAAAAAATTTTTTTTTAGGTTTATTCATTTTTCAGAGACACAGAGAGACAAAGCATGAGTTGGGGAGGGGCAGAGAGAGAAGGAGATATGGAATCTGAAGCAGGCACCAGGCTCTGAGCTGTCAGCACGGAACCTGATGCAGGGCTGGAACCTGCAGACCATGAGATCATGACCTGAGCTGAAGTCAGACACTTAACAGACTGAGCCACCCAGGCGCTTCTCTCTCCCCCCCACTCTCTCTCTCTCTCTCTCTCTCTCTCTCTCTCTCTCTTTCTCTTTATTGTAAAATATGTTTATTGATGATAAAACTTCTATAATTTACTACTGGTACTTGATATTACAAATGTTAGGGTCTTTGAGATATGTAGGATCCTTGTAATGTAACTGGCATAAAAACCCCATGATTTGAGCTCTCCTAATCACTTTTGTGATTTCTGTTTCTTCCCACAAAGACCAGTCCTATGCCTTTCATAAATGCATCCAGTAAATGGAGAAATAAGCTGGGACAAAAACTGTACATTCTTTTAATCTACATGTTTTCCACACAAGATACATTTTTTTAAGAGGCTCCTTGTAAGGATTTTCCGCTGGAATGGGCAGGTCCTCATTGCTGGCTGCCTGTTTTCTTTGAGTTTCCCTCCTAGAATAGATTTGGTGCCTTGCAGCTCTCTAGGTTTTCCTCTACTGTTATCACCCTGGAGCCCCATTGCTGTGGTAATGAAGTGTTGCTGAGGGGGAAACAGTGGATCTTACCATTAAAGCTCATTCTTGGAGACCTGTAAGCCCCTAGGCTGTGACCTTAAAAGTGTTCCTAGGTGAGACCTGAAGGCTAGAGGGGGCTAAAGTTGGCTAATCATCTTTACCCCAGGTCAGAGAAGGCTCTGGCAGTCTTTTCTCTTGAGAGCATCCTTTGTTATGGATATTGCACTGGGTATATTTTTAAATACCTTTCCTCTCCCCTGAAACAGGAGGGGATTTTTTCTTGAATCTTCACTGTGAGAACCTGGTGGTGTTCCTGGTGGTACAACCAATGAAAGAATGGTGGTCACCATGAGACTG